ACTGCGACGCGATCGAGCGGCTCTCTGCCCCCCCCCCCCCCGTCTCACCCCATTGCCGACGATGGAGAAGGAGGAGACAGAGGATGAGGTGGATGGGTAACGGAGAGTGGGGGCTGATGAACACCGCGTGGCCTTTCCCGCGCGTGGCGCTCGGTTGCGCCCAAATAAAATGCCACCGCTGAGAATCGTCGGCGGTGCGACGTGCTTCCCCGTCGCTTCGCCGCGAAGTGGTGGGGGGCGCGCCCCCGTCGGGCCATCTCGTCGGCAAACCAGCTTCTCTCCTAAGTGCTTCTCTGATCACCGGCGCATTCAATTACCTGGCCCGCTGCTTGGGCCGCGAGGAGGAACGGGCGCTCTGCTCTTGCGCGCGCGGCAAAAATTGCGCCCTGCAGTTCAGGCCCGGCGAAAATGTTCGGCCGTCAGATTAGGGCGCGACGCGGTCGTTTTGCATTGCTCGGACCTTCTGACTCTGACCGGCCAATCAGGACAACAACGGTGCGTTCGGGGCAAGTGCCGCAAGGCGCTGGTTCGTCGATATAACGAGGATCTTGATCGCCATCTCGCTGTCTCCAGCGATGGCCAAGTTTGTTCTATGCCTGCCGGTAGGGGCACTGAGCTCCTCGGCGACTGTTGTTTGCGCAGGAGGCAGCTGAGTCAAGGGGGCCGCGGTCGTCGTTGTCCAATTTGTCTGTTTCTTTTGCTCCAGGCTGCCCCAACGCTTTGCGGGCGCGTCGGAGATTAGTCCAGACGCGGGGTAGAGCGCCTCGCACACGTCGCCCCAGAGGCACAGTGCCAGCAAGGATCCAACCGCCACGCAGGCGTTGAGCGGCGCAATCATAGTTCCGCGGGGGACTTAGATACCACCGTCTGCTTCTTATAGCTATAACTAATGGACCGCGAAGAATGTCCGAGGACCAACTAGGGCTTGGTAGCCTCCTGTCGTCGACAGGCTAGTCTTCTTCGTCGACCAACTGTCAAATCTCTCGCGTCGTCGCCTGATAAAGCCCTCCACGCTGTAAGCCCGACGCTGGTGCAAGTAGGAGACATGTCCGTGCAATCGGGGGTCCATGATCCTGATTCACTCTGTTACCTGGCGTGCCGGCGCGCCCGCTGGGCGGGGGCGTCGAGCCGGCAACGCCCCGCGACGCGCAGACTCTTCATTGAACTACTCGCGGCGGGCGTTGCCGACGTCACTGCCGCTCGGCATCGCCAGCTGCAAAGCGGTCGCCAGCTAGGCCAGGCGCGGGCCACTTGCGCAATGCTTTAACGGGGGCGTTGGCAAAGTGAGTTCCCCGCGTTGATCGGCGAAGGCCAACATGTTGCAAACGCAACCCTCGAATGGAGGCAGGGCCCCCCCCCCGCGTTCGGCGCGGGGGGGTTGGGTTGAAGGCTTCGCCTTTGCTGGAAGGGGCGCCGCTAGCGCTGGGTTGCCCCTCCGCGCCATCGGAGTGCCGAGACCCGCATTAGTTTTGCGTTCAGTGGCCGATTCGAACTGTTCCATGCGTTCCTCGGCATCCTCTTCAGGCGCGTCGAGCGCCTAGAAACCAGGCCCGAGGAATTGCCCGATGGGGCTCTGGTGGGCCAACGCGGACGCCTGATTTAATGCTACTATCCCAACCTCTCCCGAGGTTCGTCTTTCTTCCTGCCGCCTCAAATTGAAGTCGCCGGCGCAAAAAGGGGCAAAGTCAGACCGAGCTTTTCGCGTCGGTCGGCGGGCCCCCAAGTTCCCAGCCAGCAGTTTATAACATATTTCGGGCGAAGGCGCCCCCGGGAGACGCCCGGCTGGCGGTGGCCGCGCGGCGCGCGGCGCAACCGCGCGGCGGGGCGTCGGCGACCCTATTTCTTCCTAGCTTCGGGCCGACGCTCTGCGCGCAGATCGACCCACGCATCGACGTCGCCAACGTGACCGTCTCCATTAATATGGGCCTGCGGAGGGGCACTCACGGCGTCTGATTGTTGGCGGCCATTATATGGGCGGCGATCAGCTGCGTCCGGCAGCTAGCGCCACTCGGGCGTGGGGCGCGGGGTTGGCCGCCTCAAAGAAGGGGGCAGCTGGTCCTGTCGGGCCCGTAACATCGCCCCCTGGCAAGACGACGCGACCCTCGAATTTCGATTTCCCTGAGCGCGTGCGGACTCAGAATGTTCACCGACGGCGACGTTGAACAATCGGTCCGCGTGCACTCTCTTCCCTGCCTCGCGGGCCTCGCGCGCCGCGCCGTCGCGCCCGCGCCAGGAAGACGTGCGACCGCGCCGCTGAGATATCAGCTTTCCCCGCCCGCTGTCGGGGGCCTTCGGCGCAGCTGAAATCAAGGGAACTTATTTTTTGGACAGCGGTGTCGCCGCGCGCGCAAATTCAGCGTCGGCGGCAAACGCGGCGCGGATGGAGACGTGCCCGCCGCGGCCCTGGACCGCGCCCGCCGCCGAAGGCGGCGCTGCAGGTGTCGCGAGGACAATTCGCGTAGCCTTCTCTCGTTGGGTCTCAATGACACGCGGCGCGGCTGGTGCAGCATGGGGGCAAGGGCGATGCGATCGGCGTGGGTCCGCCGCCTGCACCCCCGAACGATTGAGGAAACTGAGCCCGGAAATGCGTGGCGGCTCGGCAGGGCGCGCGTGACCTGAGCTAGCGGCGGATTGCAACGCCGCGGCCGCATGGCTCGGGTCTTCGCGGTAGCTCAGCAATTCCATCGCGCCCCCCTCTTCCCCGGGGGTCCTGGGCCGCAGAATTCTCTTATCAGTGAAATCGCGATCGTCCAGGTCGATGAGAAACAGTCCAGTGTGAAGGTCGGCGGCAACGCGACGGTGCGCTGATTTCCGATTGGGTCCTGCGTTGGCTTTTGCGTGGTAACGCGCTGCCGCATGGTCGCCGCGGGCCCAGCGATGCAGGCCAGCCGTTCGCCCCCGATCCCTGGGCTTGAGAAGCCCAGCCCGATAGATCTGAGCGTCAATTCGCTACTTGTCTTGGACTGCGCGCTCCGGGTAAACGCGGCTGAATGTCTTGCCTTGGCGCGCGGTGGTTTGAACGCGTGCCTCCTCGAACGCGCCCTCTGCCTCAGTTGCGGCATTTATGGCCGGGGATAACACCTCGCTAGTCCAATGCTCAGATCACCCACGAAGGCATCACCATCGGATGCCCCATCCCATGCGTCAGGGATGAACCCCTCCCCCGGGGAACTCGTGCTGCTGCGCGCGGCGGTCGAGATCGAGGTTTCCAGCTGGCGTGGGAGGGCGGTCCTCGTCTGGGCCACTCGCGCCTCTAGCGGAATGAAAATGATTCCCCTTGGTTGGCGCGTGAGTCCGACATGCATGTGGCCGCGCATCTCCCACTCGTCTGGGACGGGCACACCGACGGAGGGCCCCTGTCTCGGTGCAGCTTCGAGCTGAGGAGTACGCGAGTTCCTCTTCCGCGAAGTCTTCGCCGAACGGCGTCTCAGCCTCGGCTTTAACTCGCGTGCGGAACCCCCCGTGGTGTGTGTGTGTGAGTGTGCGCGTGCTGTCACGATGTATCCAGTAACGGCACGATCCTGAGAGTCTACGCTCAGGGCACGCTGCGCTTGTGAGGAGCTCGAAAACACTCGCAACGTAGTAAGGTGTGCCGCTCGATGTTGTTAGACAACCCTACCTTGCTCTTGCGATGCCAGCTGTAGCACGCTACCTATATGCTGCTCAAGGTTTGGAGCGTCCCGGCCGTTAAAACATTGATCTTGCCTGCTCGACGGCGGCAACTTTGAACCAGCCACGCTGCCGCGCCTGATGCCATGACGCCCCTCGGTCTCCAACGCAATGGGTGTCCCTGGTTCCGCTGCTTTTCTCGCTGGAGCCCCGCTCGCATGCATAGCTGCGATGAGATGTTTATCGAACCTCTGTTGCCGAGGATCCATTCAGAATCTGGCTGTGCTAGCGGCGGGTTGGCCCATCGCGCGAGCCCGATCAAAGGCTGGAGGCGGATGTTCTCGATTTTTTCTTCCAAGCGCGGTCCGCGGGGACGAATTATCCGTGCTCCATTTGCTGCGGTTGAGCAGTTTGTTGTGTTCTCCATGTCGGAGGATGCGCATAGGAGATGTGACCCGCAAGGTGTGCTTCCAGGTCACCGTAGGCCCCCAAGTTGTTGCAGCGCTCTCGCGCAAGGCAAGAAAAGGAACGGATGGAAGGCAACATAAGGAGCTGATGGGGGGCCCAGGACGGACCACGGGATGGGGTACCGCTCAAAATAATACGCGCCACCTCCGAAGGGTACAACGCAGAGGAATGCTGGCGGGCGCAGGCATCGTACCCCCTGAGCAAGAAACAAGTGAAGACCCCTTAAGCAGGCCTACTTGGGAAAAAAAACACCGACGGCAAGCAAGCGTGGGCAATACAAGACCATGCGCGAAGAACTCGATAAAACATACATGCGGAGCCCGCGGCACAGATCACGCGCACAGAGAACAACACACATGAAGACCACATGGTATGAAGCACATCTATGCTGACAACGCCCGCCAAGTGGTTGCCGGAGGCCTCCAGGTGGACGCCGTTGGCCGCCAACTTTACGGGAACAAAACATGACGTAAACAAAACAACGCGGAGGTACGCGCGGATTTCTCCGAACGGCGCTGGGCCCCCTGCACTGGAGCGCGCGCACTGCGCCGGGGGCAGCGCCGGAGACGCCGCCAGGGGGGCTCCCCAGCGCCGACGCAGTGCATCCGCGCGGAACTCCGCTTCCTCCTCTGCTCCTGCTTCTGCTTCCTCCTGGTTCTGCTCCTCCTCCTCCTCCTCCTCCTCCTCCTCCTCCTCCTCCTCCTCCTCCTCCTCCTCCTCCTCCTCCTCCTGGGTCCCAGAGGCCCCCTGGAGGCCCCCTGGAGGCCCCCGTCGTGGCTCTTGGGCCCTCCAGCGATGCCCCCCTTTTCTGCTTCTGCCGTTTTGCCTTCTTCGACGGAGGCCGCCGACGGCCGCCGAGTGGCCGCCGGAGGCAGCCCCACGTGCAGCGGCCGCCGAGTGGCCGCAGGGTGGCCGCCGAGGGCCTCCACCGCGGCGTGCACACGTCGCCGCCCTCGGCCCAGGCGGCGCAGAGCTCGTCACCAGCCTCCGAGGGGGGGGGCGCGATAACTGGGGGAGCTGTGGTCCTTACCCCCCTGGGGGAACCCATCGCGTCGACGATCTCTCGAGAGGGGTGTCGAAATCGATGGGTCCCCCAGAGGGGGTAAGGACCACAGCTCCCCCAGTTGTGGCTGGCCTGGAAAGGGGGGGGGGGGGGGGGGGGGCGCGCGGAGGTGGCCGCGGGCGCCGCGCGGGCGCGCCCGGCGCCCGCGGCCCCGCCATCTCCTCGCTGCGAGAGCCTCCGGCAGCGTCTTGGTCAAGCTGAGAGGGCCCAGGGAGGCACAGCTGCAGAGGCACAGACCCTCGGGATCTCCGCCATGTCTACACATCTGCTGGATCTCGGTTGTCTCCTTCAGGTCCCATCCTGGAGAAAGAGAGCGGCCATCCTCCTTCGGGGGAACAGAAGTCATGACATGAACATAGAAGCTCGGAGCTCCGCGCAGATTCCTCGGATCGGCGCTGAGGCCCCTCCGCGCCCCATGGAGGAGGTTCCGGTGCGTATACGAGAAATCCGCTTGGACCTCAAACAAGTTCTGTTCATGTCATTGTTTGTTCCCCGATTTGCCCGGACGGAAGAAATTCTAGGAGCCATCATCCCCTGGGGGCTACTGCGGGGTTTTGGGGCCGTGGAAACACTACGCAGGATGGACAAACAGTCGCAGGGAAGGTGTCGAGACATTTGCGGCACCACGAGATGACAAAAGTACGATGTCGAATATCTGGTGGCGCCCCCACATGAGCACGTTCCACCGATCCCCGTTCCCACTGGCACGGCCTTGGCCGCACTGACCGGCTTTGCCTTGTAGGTGGAGGTATGTGATCCCTGCTGGTTTCGACGAGCCTGTCCCCCACCTTGGGGGTTGGGCTGGTGGGAATGCGATTCCATGGCGCAATGCGGATGGGATCGGATAGGCGATGCCAATCGTATACCTCCAAAGTTAAAGGCGTCGCGTTCGTGGCTTTTGAGCGTTTGTGGGGGTGCTCGTTGCAACGGCTGGGCACAAATCAAAACTACTCCGGATGCACCACAACAGGTGTCGGGATAATGACTTTGAGCGGGAGTTGCTCGTTATCTTCCAAATGAAACTCTCGTCGTCGCCGACGAAGTATGAGGGATGCAGGGTTCGAGGCTTCAGGTTTGTGAGTGCTGTTGGAGTGTTTGAGGCCAGGGACCTCCAAGGACTTCAGAGGCCTCAGGGGGCCTCTCATCGTCGTGGTCGTCGTCGGCATCCTGGCGTCGTCTCCGTCGTTCGGGGGGTCGATGATCGAGGATCGAGGTCTGTGGTAATCTTGGGACATTTGAAAATTCTCCTGGGACGCCCTCGTGGCCACGGTTGGATCCGCTCTCTTGCTTGCTTGGCGCCCCCGGCTCCTCTTCTTCGCGGAATCCCATGTAATCCACGATGTAGCAGGCACCCCAAAGAGGGAGCAACCCAAGGCGGGAGCCGACCAGGGTTGCAAGGCCCGGTCGCGCCCAGATTGCGGAGATCCCGAACGACATGCATGTTTGGCCGAGTGCGCGAATCGCTGTCCTTAATATATTAACTCTGCGGTTCTGGTTGGTGTCAAGACTCTGCCTCACTCACCCACCTCCTTCTTCTCTAACTTACCTGACCCTAATCTGTAGGCTCGCTCATACTCAGACTCGCTGAACCCAGAGCCACTCACACTCAGACCCGCCCGTATTGAGACTGACACGTGCTCGGACTCACTCACACTCATATCAGCTCATGCTCACTTTAGTCGTACTCAGCCACACACACCGACCACCCACATTCATTTCGACTCACAATCGTACATGTAAGCCGAGCATAAGTGTATTCATGTTGCTGGGGGTGCAATTTGTTGATTGCGATTGGCGTTAGGCCGACTGCAAGAACCAATGTGTGTATATATATATATATATATACGTCTGTATGTATGTAGGTATATAAATACGTCTACACATGTGCTCGCCCACCCCACGGGGACCCCGTCTTGAACAAGTAACTACTCGTATGTAGAAGTATAAAAGGGCTTATATATAGAAAGGAAGAGGGGGAGAGAGAGAGAGAGAGACAGAGAGAGAAACAACAACACCAACAATAGTTAAAACAATGAGCGAAGCCTTCCCGATTTCCTGTATTCTCTTTACAACTAACACACATAAATCATTAAGTTTAACATGCAAGAACATACTACACGAAATAATGAGAAACTGTCTCGGGACAGCCACCCATGTGAAACCCCTAACAACCGTCCCACATCCAAGCACATGTTAATAATCCCTGTGGGGCCCGTAACCAGCACACGTTTCGGCATTCGCGCTCCCTCCTCGGTCTGTCCCTTTTCTCACAAAAGCCGACATGTATGGGAACACGTACAAGTAAAAACAGCAAGAACCTGCACACGTAAAAACAATAAGAACACGTCTTGGAACAACCACCCCTGTGAGACCCTTCTACTGTAAAAGACAACAACCCAACGCATACTAATGATCAATGCGGGTCCCCCTCTTTTTTGTTTAGAACAATTGTCGGCATCCGCGCTCCCTCCCCGATCTCCCTCCTGATTCCTCCACAAGTGTAACCAACGAAAAGAATTGCGATAAAAAACGGTCGGGTACTTAGCACGTGCAATCAATCAGATCATGTCTTGGGACCGCCACACCTGTCAGACTCATAAGAGGAAACACGCAACAACATCAGCATAGTAGCGATACTGGGGGGGCTCCTGGGCGCCATAACAATCAAAGGTGTTCTACATTCGCGCTCCATTCCCGACCTCATGTCTTAATCCCTTACAAGTTAAAACGCTAAGGACATTTTCTGATACAAGCCATACGACAATGCACACTTGAAAACAATACGGACATGCTTGTTGGTCCCACCATCCCTTTGACACGCATATAGAAGACTGCTAACAACGAGAGCATGCACATTCTCCCTGTGAGCCCCCTGCATGCAAAAAACAAATGTTCTGCGTTCGAGTTGCATCCGGATCTCCCTCCCTCACAAGCAATTGCTCAATGAGAACAATCAGGGAGTAAACAAGTAAACGCAATCAGACCACGTCTTGGGACCACCACCCCTGTGAAATCCGTAGAAAATCAACGGCAGATACTACTAATCCATGCGCCACCTCAAATCATTGAGAACCACACTTTTTTGTTGTCGGAATTCGCGCTCGGCTCCCGATCTTCTTATATACCCCCTTGATCTTATCAACACTAAAGAATATGCAAACGTAAAACAATAAGGGAACGCTTCGGGACCACCATCCCTGTGAGACCCCTAAAAACTACTAGCCCCTGCGAGTCCCATGCGGAACCATAGACAAATCACACATGTTCAACATGTGCGTTCCGTTCCCGATATCCCCCCTACTCCCTTATCGTTGGAACCAACGGAAAGGTTAGAGCTAAACCCAATCGTGCACAATAATACACATTACGCGTAATAACAATGGGAACATGTATCGGGACCACCACCCCTGTGAAACAATTTGTCCCACTAGAACATACGAACAGTCCGTGTGCCCCCCCCCAAAAAAAAAGAACTCATCACAGGTTTTCGGGATTCGAGCTTCCTTCCCAATCTTCTCATGATTATGTAACAACTCAAGACGAGAAAAACGTTTACAGTTAAAGACAATCAGAGGACTTACAATCAAAGCAAAACGGATATCCTTTGGGGCCACCAGTCTTGTGACTCCCCAAAACAACCTAAAAGATACCAGACCATATTGACAATCCTTGTAGGTCGCTTAAACAAGGGAACTAAGATTTTCAGCAGTCGCGGTTCCTCCCGATCTTCTCCATGTTCCCGTACAGTGAAAATCAGGCATAAAATTTGAAATCACATAGGAAAAACAACATTGTGGCACCACCATCCCTGTGAGACCCTTGAAAAGCCGGAAACAAACAAATGCGAATGATCCTAGCGGGTCCACAAGAACACAATCCAATGTTTTCGGCATTCCCGCGCTTTCCAAGGTCTCCTTCCTGTCCCTCCGGTTTCCTTTCTTTTTTTTGCAGGAGGGGTCGCGGCGAAGGATGAAAACCTGCTGTTTTTTCCCCTCGAGCTTCGAACTGTTGATGTTCTGGGGCCTTGCAGAGATTTTAAACATATGGAATGTTCACAACTTTGTGGGGGTCTCGCAAGGAAGGTCGTCCCAAAACGATGTTCGACTGTTTTTGATTGTATTGTAATATTTCTTCTTGTGCCTGTAAGTGTTCGCATTGATGTTTGTAGAAAAGTAGGTCGAAAATGCCAAACATCTTCCAGAAGGTCTTCACACGGACTACAAGTATTTGTTCCAATGCAAATTTTTCAACGGTGTTACAAGGATGGTGGTTCCACGAATTTGTGAAATCATCGGGAAGGAGCGCAAATACCGAAAACCTTTGGTTTCAAGTGTTGTAGGGGCCCCACAGGGATTATTAATATCTTGTGTTGATTTTGGAATTTCTTGTGGGGTCTCACAGGGGGTGGTGGTCCCAAGATTCGTGTCCTTATCGCTTGGGAAAAAATGGTTTCTTTGAGTTTACATGACATTACTCTTCTAACATAAAAATCACGGCTCCTTAATTTTACGGGGAAGGGTAGGGCAATCGGGGAATGGAGCACGACTGTCGGGAACCTTTGACGTTGTCGCCTCTTAGGGGGCCCGCAAGGATCATGCTTTGTTAGGTTTTGTGTTGTTGTTGGTGTTGTCGTTTTTGTGTTTTTGGTATTTGTTTTTGTTAGCTGCCTCACGGGATGGTCCCAAGCTGTGCCCTTAGGGTGATCACTTATATTATTGGTGGCTGTTTTTCAATACAGACAGTCGCAATATATTTAAACGTAAGCGAACATGGAAAAGAGCGGGAAGGGGACGCGAATGCTGAACAGCTGTGGCTGGGAAGGTTTCCAAAGGTCTTCACATGGATTTTGAAAATGAGTTTTCGGAAAGTCTCACAGGGTTGGTGGCCCTAAGATATTATCATTGTGATTACTTGGAGATGTCTGTGTGCTTTAATTGTACACTTCCTTGATCGTCTTTGCTCTTAAATTTTACTCTTGATTTCGACGATAAACGGAAAAGGCAGGATATCGGGACGGGAGCACGAATGCCGAAAACCCTTGCCTCTTAGTGTAAGCTCACAAGGTTATTGATTGTTCTTCCACACGAGAAAATGGGCCTCTCATGGATAGCGGTCCACACACGCTTTCTTAGAACTTATAAGTATTGTATCAGCGCTTCTAGTTGTAAAGGCGAAAGGAAGGATCGGAGAGGCAGCGCGAATGCAGAGAATCTTTGTTTGTTACAGATATGTGCATGTATGAGCGAAGAAACACAATTTTGGACTTATATCAGAAGGATGGTGGTCCCAAGCAATTTCTCGTTTTTATTTAAAAAAGCGGATCTGATCAATGACTTAATTTGTAATATTTGGTCAATGCTTGGTATGTAGGCGGTCCTATTGAGTTAAATGGTATGGCGCCTTGTTGTGCTCACCAGTAAGGAGTTATGTTTGATCTTGGTGTTGATTATCAGGTGTTCTCAGTGTTTGTGATTGCGATGCTTTCTGGTTGTTTTTAAATGGGCGCTGTTCCTATTGTTCTCTCTGGCAGGCGCTCTTGTGACAGCGCTGCATCAACATCTACATCAACGTATGCATCGACATCTTCGTTTAAAGCTGTCGATATTCATTTGTGAAGATGGGGTCCCCTGGGGGCTACCATGTGTGTATATATAGATCCCTGTCAATTGGCATCACTGTGTACTTGCCGTTCAACTATGAAGCGGTCAAGAGGTCTCAACGTACCATGGCCTGGCAATATCAATCTCTCTCTCTATCTCGTTATATAAAGGTAAATGTTTGAGCTCATTATGTGCAACTATCTACCTGTAGGTCTCACTATCGATATATCGCTGGGGAAGCTACGGGACAACCGCGGCACGACCACGGGACAACCAAGTGACAACCACGTGACAGCCATGTGACAACCACGGGACAACCACGGAATAACCACGGTCACCGTGTGAGGGTTGTTCCACAATGGGCTTGGCGGCCTGGAGGCGCTGATTCTGCTGACAATGCTGGTCCTGATGATGACGAGGATCTGATTCGATGTTGCCGGCCATAAGGATGAGAGGGAGGGATGGAGGAGAAGAGAAGAGGAGGAGCGGGGAGGATGAGTCAGGAATGAAGGGCGGGGCGCTGAGGATTCAAAACGGGGGCCCCACACCACAGGATGCTTCGGAACGGAGAGCAATGACCGCAGAGACAGCTGGAAGCGACGCGCATCGTCAACCACCAACATGCGCACAAGCGCCTTCGCGCACGCCGTCAGCCGCGCTGCTGCGATGCAGAACATGGCTGAAGCGCGAGGAGGAGGAGGAGGAGGAGGAGGAGGAGGAGGAGGGGCACCGGGTGCCGCGGATGGCCTCAGAGGTCCGCCGAGGGTCGCCGAGGGCCGCGCACGGCCGCCGAAGGCCGCCGACGGGCGCCGACGGAGGCCGCCCCCCCACCCCCTTGGCGGCAGGCGCCCGCGGCCTGCGACAGCGCCAGCGGCTCGCGCGGCGCTCCGCCGCAGCCCAGCGGGCGCGCGCCGAGCGGCTCGAGGCCGCGCGGGGCGCCGCGCGGGGCGGCACGGGCCGACGAGCCTCCCCTCGGCGAGGGCGGCAGGGAGGACGGCGAGGAGAGCGGCGAGGAGAGCGGGGACGACGAAGCCGGCGACGACGACGAGGATGAGGGCAGCGGCTGCGGCGACTGCGACGAGGCAGCGAGGGAGGAGGGAGGAGGGAGGAGGAGAGGATTTGGGAGGTTCAGGGAGGTACGCAGGGGTTCCAGCGGGTTGATCGCTTTGGGAGTTTGCAGGCGGGAGCTCCAATGCTCGAGCTACTACACCACCAACCCCACAGCAATTCGTTGGCAGAGATCACCTGGCGTAACGACGCGAGGACCCTTCTCATGCATATGATGATTGTGATGGTGGCGCCTATGACGAGGACGACGACAACGACGATGACGATGCGAGCTCGGGCAGCTCCGGGGCCGCCTCAGAGTCGGCGGCGAGCCCTGGGGGGAAGTCAGAGGGGGCGGGCCTTCTCGCAAGGCCCGGCAGGCCTTCTCTGACGCCCGAAGCGGCTCCTCAGAAGGCCGCAGGGCTTCCGAGAAGCCCCACCGCCTTCCGAGAAGGCCTGCCCCCTCTCGCTTCCCCCCCCCCCGGGCGCGCCGACGAGGGAGGGCCGCATCGAGCACTCGGATCGCCTTTTCCTGTCGCCAGGCCCACAGAGCGCCGCCGCCCCGCAGCTTTTGTACAGGCGGCGCGAGCGCCCGAGCCATCGGGGGGCAGCTCGCTCTCAGCCGCAGCGGCACGCGCCCCCCGCGGTACGGGGCGGGGCACGGGGGGGGGACGAACACGTACCGGCAGGCTCGTGGCGTTGCGACCCTGTCGCTGCCTTCCGACACCGCGTGGATCCTTCAAACTCCATCGATCGTCGTGGCGACACTGTCGCTCGTGTCGTGGCGACCCTGTCGCTGCCTTCTGACGCCGCGCGGATCCTTCGAACTCCATCGAGCGGCGGCCCCTTCGATCGCCGTATCGCTCCATGTCGGCCGCTTCGGGGCCACGGGCGGCGCTCGACCCTGAACGCCCGCGGCGGGGTCGCCGCCGCGCAGGCACGACGCGAGCCTGCCGCAGCGGAGCTGTCGGCAGTGCAGGGCACCGTGCTCGACGGCTCATCAGAGGGCGCTCAGACCTGCCGCACAGAACGACCGAGCTCCGCCCGCCACGCTGCTCGCCCAACAGAATCGTACACGACACACGTCCGCTTGCCCGCCAGTCGGAAGAAGCTGGTAGAAACATTAAGCAGGAAGGCGCTGAAAGCAGATTGGGCTTCCGCCCGCCCCCTGAAGAGGAGAGAAGAGGGAAGCCCACTCGACTCTTGAAGTAGGAAGGCGCCTAAAGCAGATGGGGATCTCAGCATCCAAGTATACCTACTTTCAACGACTGGCGTGTTAGGAAACAACTACTGGGGGGTTTTCGTCGGAAAGATTAAGGAGGATCAAGCGCCATTTGGGAGCTATTACGGCGGAGTGGGCCTCGGATTAAGCGGGATTAAGCCGGATGAAGCGGGATTGAACGGGATCAGGCGGGATTCAGCCGGACTTCGGACCAGTGCAAAATCAGAACTTGACCCCCCAGGAGTTGCATCCAAAGGCGTGTGCCCCAGATCCCACAAGAAGCCTCCTGCCCCCCCCCGCGCGCGAAGCCTGTAGGAGCGGGGGATGAGGGAGAGATGCGCCAGGACGAGGAGCAGCCGGGCGGGCGGGCGGGGGGCGGCTCAGCTGAAGAGGCCGCGCCACCGCGAGTGGTCCACCTCGGACAGGTCTGGCGCGTCCACGAGGGAGAGCAGATACGCCGCGAGGTTCTTGAGCTCGACATCGTTGGCGCTGTTGGCGTGCTTCACGCGGAACGGCGAGACCTCGATCCCGTTGCGTGGGTTCATGGCGAAATTCCGGCCCAGGTCGTCGACGTGCACCGTGTTGGCAGGCCCGAAGCTGGCCGGAAATTTTGACCAGATAACCTCGAGCGCCTTGACCTCGTGGGAGCGCGGCTGCCCGTGCCTGTCCATGGAGGTGACGGTGAACATCGAGGAACGGTCCATGCAGAAGGAGATGCTGAAGCGCGGGTTGGTCAGCAGGCCCAGCTCGGTCAGCTTGGCCTCCACCCAATGCCACCTCGTCTGGCTCCACACGGCGATGTCGTAGTATGGGTAGAGCTCCACCAGCAGCTCGTCGGTGAACGGCCGCTTGCACCTTTCGATCGGCGCGGAGGACTTGCAATCGAACACGGTGTAGTCCAGGTCCAAGACCAGCAGGCGCTTCCCTTCCCGGGGCTGCTGCAGGACGGTGATGTCCGTCGCCTGGATGGCAGCCTGCAGCCGCTGCAGGTGCAGGTCGTTCCGCGCCACCGAGCCTGGGTCGGGGACCGCCTCGGCTCCGGGGGTGTCCTCCTCAGACGACGGCAGAACGGCACGGACATGAACGTTCAGAGGACCGCGTTGATTTCTTCGATCGGAGCTGGACCCCCCCTCCCTGGCGCGCCTGGCGCGCCATTGGAGGCGCCGCAAGCGCCGCTTTGGGGGGTCCAGTGCCGATCCAAGAGATCCGTGCGGAGCTCCAAACGTTTATGCTCGTGCCGTTTCTTCTCCTTCCGCTCCCAGGTGGCGACATCCGAACCCTACCCCCCACCGGCCATCGATCCTCCTGAATCGATCGGGGGCGGGGGCATGGGCTCGGATGTCGCCGCGCGCCCGACGAACTCCGAGCCCTGCCCGCCCCGCCCACCGAGTTGCCTGAACCCTGGATCGCCGAGGGCAGGGTTAGGTCGGGCCTGTCCCCCCACAGGGGAATTTCGGAGGAAAAATGAAGGATAGTTCAAGCATGTTCCCAACTGGCCAAGACATGATCAAACAGTCGTCCCCGGAGCATCTTCTGACTGTCCTTGAACATCCCTCCCCTATATAGAGAGGGGGCAGGCCCGACTGCAGGGGCAGGGGCCCGGACCTCGCCGCAGCACTCCTGCAGCTGGTGCTCCCGCGCGGTGCCCACGAGCACGAACGTGCCCGGCCTCTTGAACGCGAGGGTGCACAGGAGGTCGTCGCCGGCGGGCGGCCGCCCCCCGTCCGCCACGACGCCCACGAGCCTCGGCGGGCCGCCCCGGGAGCAGCCCCAGAAAGGGGGCGCACAGGGAGATGCCAGTACTGCTCCTCCTCCTCCTCCTCCTCCTCCGCCTCCTCCTCCTCCTCCTCCTCCTCCTCCTCCCCTCCTCCTCCTCCTCCTCCTCCTCCTCCTCCTCCTCCTCCTCCTCCTCCTCCTCCTCCGCCTCCTCCTCCTCCTCCTCCTCCTTGTCCTCCTCCTCCTCCTCCTCCTCCTCCTCCGCCTCCGCCTCCTCCTCCTCCTACAGTATTCGGCCTGGCCTAAGGAACGACAGACAAGGAGCGAAGCCCCTGTGTTTTTCCAAGCAATTCTAGGAAGTCCGAAGGAACACCAGGGGGGGCTGGCCGCCAGAAAGGTAGCAGAACGCATAGAGACCAAAGGAACGGACAGGGACATACCAGTACTATTTTAGGTCGGGCACGTCCCCCTAGGTGCGGATTTCGGGCGAAGAATCAAAAATACTAAAACAATACCCCCGACTAGGCCAGAAAACAAGCAACAAGTCGTCCCCAGACTACTGTTAAACTATTTTTGGATACTCCTCCTTTAGAGGGACATGCCCGACTTGACACTGTGTGTTCCTCTCAGAGGGCGTGCGTCCGACCCGAACATGCAATACAGTATACCCGCCTGGTAGTGTGTCGTTTCCCAGGCGGTGTGGCCAGGAAGCGCCCGCCACGACGCATGCGCTATGAGACGTCTCGGTGCGCGCGTCGCCTCTGGGGGGGGGCGGCGGCGCACACGTGGCACACGCAAAATGAGCCTGCTGGGGCTACGCCGACGAAAGATCATAATACCGATGTGTGAAAACAAGACAGTCTCAGCCAGAGATGTTCTAACCCGCCTCCGCCTGCCCTGGCCTTATGGGGCCGCCCCGTCTTTGCTGTATTGGAGGGCTCTTCTTTTGAGCCTTTCAGGCCCCGGCTTTCACTTCCACTTTCCCTCTTTGGTGGGCCTACAGGCACGCCAGGGCGTGCCAACACGGATGTTTTGACCGCGGTACCTGCTGCGCTTCAGAACGGGCGTATCGCGGCAGCTAGAACGAGAACCCATCGGGGAGCGCTGGGCGGTGGCACGCCCGAGCGCCACCCAGCACAGGACGACGCTCAGGCGTGCTACCGCCCAGGGGCCCGCGCCCTCCGCTGGCTTCTCGGCGGCGGTGGTCCCCGTTGCCGCTGTGCTCTTCTCGAGCGGCCGCCTCATCTTCTCGTGGGGCACGTTGAGCTCCGCGTCGAGCCGGCGCTTCAGCTCCCCGAAGGTCAGCGTGCCCCAGTCGGCCGGCGACAGGAGCACTGGCACGCTCTGCGCGCCCCACCGCGCCTGCAGCTCGACCTCCCCCTCGGCGTTCAGGGTGGGCGGCGCCCAGGCCGCGCCAGCCGGCGAGGAGGAGCCGGCCTCGGAGCCGCCCGCGGCCCCCTGTGCGCCGGCGGCGAGAGCCATGGCCGGCGGGCCCGGGGGTCTGCGCTGCGGCAGGTCCGTGCCGCCAGGGCCTGCGCGCGGGCCTCTCTGCCACCGCGGTGGATCTCGCTCGGCCTGGAGCGATCCCAGCCCTGACCTAGTGGTGAGACGAGGCCAGGACGAGGATAACGTCGAGGGTGGACACATCGAGAGCTCTGAGATCCGGCGGATCTGCAGAATGTCTCGGGCGCCGCCGCCTTCTCAGAGCGGTCCGGAACGTTATAAGAGCGTTCCCGAACGCTCTTGAACGGATTTATCCTCGTCCTGGCCCCGTCCAGATAAACCCTCCACTCCCTAGGGTAACGACCGTTACCCGAAGTAAAAACGAGACCTGGAGGAGGTGCGAGGCTCGAGCTTTGAGGTTCGCGCTCCGGAGGTGCTCGATCGTCCTGGAGCGCCCTCGTGGCCACGGCTGGGTCCGCCTCGAACCTCTGGGCAGAACGCACCCCAGGAGAGGTCCAGGGAGGGATGCTGGACCCCTGATGCACGGACCCCCGGGGACTGGACGAAGCTTCAAGGCCCGAAGCCCGAGGTCCTGATTCTTTTTTACGACGCCATCATGTTTGGGTCTCCAGCCTCCCCGACGGCGCCGATAGGTCGACGTCGGCCGATGCTGCGCCCCAGGCGGCGTTCAGCCCAGAAAGCCCGCGCCTGGGGCCGCGGCGGCGCCGGCTGCGGCGCGCACCTGCCGCGCGCCAGCCCCCCGAAGGGGAGGCGAGGGGCCGGCGGGCGGGCCCGGCGGCGGGCCCCGAGCCACGCGGGCAGCGAGCTGCGACCTGCGCCCGGGGCCCCTGCAGGACGGCCCTCCCAGCGAGCCACGACGTCGCCGGGAGCCCTGCAGGACGGCCCTCCTCCTCCTCCTCCTCCTCCTCCTCCTCCTCCTCCTCCTCCTCCTCCTCCTCCTCCTCCCCCTGCTCCTCCTCCTCCTCCTCCTCCTCCTCCTCCTCCTCCTCCTCCTCCTCCTCCTCCTCATCGTCCTCCTCCTCCTCTTCCTCCTCCTCCTCCTCTGCGCCCGGGGCCCCTGGACGGCCCTCCCGGCAGGCCGCGAGGAGTCGCGGGCAGCGGGCACGCGACCTCGCCGGGGCCAGGGATGCCGAAAGTACAGGGCTCTATGGCGACGCGGTGCAACCGCGCAGGCCACGAGGGTTGGCCCTCCCGGCAGGCCACGAGGATTGGCGGGCAGCGGGCACGCGACCTTCCCTGACATCCACGCGCTTCAATTTAATTGAAGCGCTCGCAGACGCTTCAATTTAAAATCACAACTATGAGAAAAATCAAACGTGAAATTAAAAATTGAGACGCAGGGATAACATGCATTGGTAGGTCCTGCATTGGTACGTTGTATACAACAGACATGATGGTATGATACACAGCTCCGCTACCACTTATAAGTTCGTGCTTGCAGGGCGAAGTTGCATACAACATATATTGCTCCGCTACCAGCTGTTGGTGCGAATCCAACGGGTAGCAGCGCCGAGTCCGTATCCGACGGGTAGCAGCGTCGGGTATACCGAAGGAAAAGGAGGAGAAGGAGGAGGAGGAGGAGGAGGAGGAGGAGGAGGAGGCCCGAGGAGGCCAGAGGAGGCCAGAGGAGGAGGAGGAGCAGGAGGGGGAGGAGGAGGAGGCAGGGGAGGGAGGGGGAGGCTGAGGAGGGAGGAGGAGAAGGCTGAGGAGGAGGAGGAGGAGGAGGGGGGGGGCAAAAGGAAGCGGAGGGGGGAGAGGAGGGGGAGGGAGAGGGAAGGGGAGGAGCTTCTGCTTTCGCCGCGCCGCCGCGCTCGCCGTTCCCGCGGGCCCCCGCGGGGCCCCACGGTACCTCACCACCAGTCCGTGGGGCACTCCCAGTTCTGCCCGTACCTACGGGGGACCCCAGTTATATTTAAAAAAAGGGTTTTGTTTTGAAAAGGGCGTTTCTCGATCGTCTTCGTGGCCTGGAAAGCGAAGAACCCCACCCACAGCTTGTCCACCGCCTCTACCAGAGGGGGAGGGGGGCCCATCAACAGGGGGCTTCCTAGAAAGTCTAAGGCTTCTTAGATTTAGGCCCGCTCCTCGAGCGGCAAGGAGTGCATCAGCCTATGAGTCACGTATCCGAAGCAGCACGCGAGAGCGTACGCGGCACTCACGCTGGGTCTGAACGAAACCTCCTTGTGCGAGCTCCACCAAATCTTCCGTGGATTTTCGGCGCACTGGATCTTCCAATGACAGGGCAGTGGATGGGCCCCAGGACCCAGACATCCCCGAGTCGACTCATCCAAAAAACAAAATAACACAGAAAATCCCCACTGTCATCCAACATGTTTATAAATCCCCCGAGTCATCCAACACATAGGATGTCCTAAGGGGGGCCCTTCTCACCGCCTAGTCGGCGCGATCGTCCCTCCCTGTAGGCGGCATGACTGGGCTCCGCCGCGCGGCGCTTTCTCGAGGGGCCCTCGAGGAGCCGGAAGGGAGACGAGGCCGAGGGAGGGCAAGGATCGAGGAGAGGGAGGGGGCGGGAGGGAAAGGGAGGAGGGGGGCAAGAGAGGGGAGGGGAGGGAGGAGGGGGCAAAAGGGGGGAGGGAGGAGGAAAGGAGGCGCCCTCGAGGGGGCTCGCGCCCTCGAGGATCTGCCGTCGAGAGCGTCGCGCCCCCTGGTCCTGCGAAAGGGTTTTTGCTTCCTCCTCCGTCCTCCTGGGAGGGAGGGAACGGGTATGGATGGGGGGGGGCAGGAAGGAGGGAGGGACGAGGAAAAAGGGAGGAAAAGCAGGCGCTCTCGGGGGGCACGCGCCCATCGTCGCTTCTGGTCCTGGGACATGGGCTCCCTCCAGGACGGATCCGTGCGACCCGAATCCGTCGTCGCCCCTGGTCCTGCGGACGTGCCTCCCTCCTTCCTCCACCTTCCTTCCTCCCTCCTTTCCTCCCTCCTCCTTCTTCCCCCCCTCGTCCTGCAGGGGCGCCGGATGGGCACCCGCCCCCTGGCACTTCCAAGGCGCGCGCGCTGCTGTCCGTCCGTTCGATCGCTTGCTCCTCCCCTGGGGTGCAATGAGATGTGGCAGAACGTTTTTCCTCAGAAATTCTGTGGCATGGCCTTCTCCAAAAAACTAAAATAAAAATTAGAGCCCATATGCAACGATTTCGCTATGGAAGACATTGCACGGTTCTCTGTCTCGTCTAAGTATGTCCAATACTTGCGCGGGTTTCCTAAGAAACCCGCGCGGAGCACGAGATGGAGGAAACAATGGTGTTTAAACACCATGTGGCCGCCCGCTCTCTTCCAAAAGTGCACGAATGCAAAGGCGCAGTCCTCGAGATCTGCCTGTGCTGCAGCTGGCATCCGCCGAGGGTTCCTCTCAATTATGTCGTGGAACCTCTTCATTTGAATGCAGCAGTGGGGCAAGTACGTAGCAAGGCTCCCCTCGAACAGCGCTGCGTTCTCACGGCACAGTTCTGGCAACAACTTAACGAGCTGGCGTGTTTCCGCCGCTTTGGCATGCAAGCGGGGGTTGTGAGGAGGGCCCAACATTTTCAAGGATATCTTAAATATCTTGCTCATGTTGCCTCGGTGAAACATTTGACCGTTCGCTATGTAATATGCTCTCAGACGCCGCCTAAGGTGAAGAATGTTATCCTTCCGTCTTAAAATGATAGTCCGTGCTTGGCTGCCCGCGAAATTCCCCTCCACACAGATGCTCATCACTGCGCCGCACAGGTACTGAGAAATCCCGAGGTCCACGATATGCATCACGTCTGGGCACAACATGTCGATGTCGAAACCGAACACGCTGAAAATCGGAGCGATAAAGTTGAGCCCTATCTGGTTGCTTGAATCGAAAAAGGTCAAAACAGCAGGATCATCAGCCGAACACTCTATCTCCATCACCCTGTGGGTGTCCTTCACAGGGCCAGTCTGCACCAGCCGCCAACCAGCTGTCAAAGCTAGCTCTGGGCACGATCTCCACAACCCGAAGCCACCTATGTCTTCGTCGTGTCGCATGCAGGCAACTAAACGTGCCAGTTGTGCTTTGCTTGTGACCCGTACAGTTTTTACACAGGCCTGAACCATTTCTGCATACATGCGTGCGTCCTTCTCCCGCCACCTGCAATCAGCACGTGACCGTGGATATTCATGTAAATCAGCTTTCTTGCAATCGCAGAAAAAACATGGGGTTTCAACATTGTCCCATCTCTTCGCGCCCAATGCTTGTATGAACTCCAGAAGGTCGGCTCTGTATTCGCACAGTGCGCCGACGAGCCCTCCTGCGAGGTCAAATCCCCGCTTCAAGCTGCGAGTTTCATTTCCGAATGGCTCGTTATCATGATTACTTGCAGGGTACAGGCCGCCAGCTAATATATTCAGGCTCCATACGATAACCCGCATAATGGCGCCTATGGTGCAGGCGGCTTTACAACCACACTGGCACATGTCTGATTTACGGATCGCCGTTATCAGGTATCGGGCTTGGGACAGGCAGTTCGACCAGTAGAACGCGAGGAACGTGTCCTTCTTACTGTGAGGGACGCCATCGCTGTAGAACCCGATGGGGACACTTTTTGCTCCATTGGCGACCGTCACTGGATGGCGTGGGTAGTGAGGGGGCAAGTCTTCACTCGGGACGCTGCTCACATCGAAGTCTGAGGGGTTACGAGCAACGGCCTCTGCGAACGCCTCGTGTGGGAGATAGAATGGAAACTGGATTTCTACTCTGCTCTCCGAGTCTTTGTCCCAAATGGGCACACTTGTCGAATACAGCTGTTCTCGGCTTCGACTGTGCAGCGCTCGCCGAATATGCTCCGTGCGATGCGTGGAGTCTGGGTCCAGCGCCAAATCCCCCACACCTGATCCGCCACATCTCATTGCGTGATGCGCGATTGTGCAAACATCCTGGGGCTGAACGCCGCAACGCCCGAACCAGACCTAGCCGCCAGACAAGCTTGCCCGACATATCCCTTTCCTCATTGTTCCTCCACTCCCCTCCCTATCTTACTCCCTTCTCTTCCCCTCCTCACCCTCTCCGCGTTTTCCCCTCGCCCTTCCCTCCCTGCCCACCTTTCTCCTTTCAGCCGTCCTCGTCCCATTACTGTTCTTCACACCTCTCTCCCTCCCTCTCCTCAAATGTTGTCTGGAGCGGGGTCAGGTACGAGGTTGTGGGTTTAACCGTCCTTCGATGTGAGCTTGCCTTGCGACCACCTGGTGAGCAAGTATGCTCGCAAACCGGCCCCGCCATCGTCCACGATAGGATCAGCCTGCATCGAGTGGCCCTGGCAAAATCACATCCCCACACATGTTCCACATATCGTTTTCTCACGTGCACGTACACCCATGGTTCCACGACCCTTTGATGGGGCAAGTGAGGGGCGTTGTGATTTTGTCCTGCCACTCGGGCCTCCATCGGCTGTGGCCTCTCAGCTCCGCCCCCAGCGACCAGCAGGCTCATGGCAGCTGCTCGCGCAGTCATGGCGGTGAACGAACACTGCCAGAAACCAAAACAGGTCCTGCACCAGAAACCGTTCGAGCAAAAGCGGCTGGAAGGCTACTGCCAATGGGGCTTGCAACAGAGCGGAGCATGGGACCATCATACGTGTCATGAAAAAGCTCCTGTCACGGGAAACTCTGCAATCGTAACCAAATCCGATGCATCAACATGATTTCTACACATTGCTCCCATGCTCCAGCCCTGGGGCAATTAGACAAAACAACTCGGACATAGAGAATTCCGATCCAGTTGAGCCCTTCTCCCGTCCCTCCTCTCCCTCCCCCTACCTCCCGAACTTTCTCGTCACCTCCCTCCATCCC